TTCAGAAAGAGGCCTAAACATTCCAGAAAAACACTTGATTATGGGTCAGAAACGTGACAACTGCACCATCTACCACCGTGGGTTTGTAATCTTCAAACGCAAGCCGACCTACTTGGCCATTCCTGCAAATGTGTTAATGACCTCTGCAACCACTACAGTGGATGTTTTAGGGGGTTTTATGCAATCTGCCGACATTACCCCCAAAAATAACTAAACTAATCGGTTTCAAAACAGCCTAAAACTCCAAAAATCACCGTTTCCATCCTGAGCAGCGTCGCCATCCTTGTGGTTGATCTTGCTGATGCATTTCTTCAGGGACGCCATGCTGCGCTTCTGTAGGACCAGGTACTCTTCTTTCAGCTCGAGCCATTCCTTCCTTCAAATAGACAAACAGACGTTAAAAGAAGCAACGCCGTGATGAAATCCAGCAGGGGCTTTACTGTATTGAACCAGTGTTGATGTAATCGAATGAAAAAGGGGATGTAGGGCCTACTTTGACAGAACCCGGAGCGGGATGACTTCCTCGCCAATTTTCAGCTTCTCTTTGTGCTTCTTTTTTCTCTTCCTCTTCGCCTTCACAGTCAAGTCATCTGTGCTCTCTTTGCCTTTTTCCGTGTTTCCCTCCGTGTCGCTTTTACTGGGCAGATCTGAGACGGGGAAAAACGCAGTGAAACAGCCAAGGATTTATTAGGCATGTGATTATAAAGATATCACTTTTACACTTGTCATTTCCTAAAAAAAAGAAGTACAAATTAAGTCAATGCGGGTCATTCACTTGTCTGGTGGATCACTGTCACGCAACTGAATTGAAATGTGGAGAATGATCAGGTAGCAGCTTTTTTTAATTACAAAAAAAACAAGAGAGATGACTGTAAACGCCAGAAATTATTATATTATATTTCTATAACTCCATCATTTTTTTGTAGAGCTCAAGGGATATTTTAAAATGTACTTTCTTTCAAAATTAAAATGTGAAATAAAACACATTTTACAGACAGAAGTGTTGTTCAACTTGACAGTTGTCCTGAATTATCGAACACTTCCGTAAGGAGGGTCAATCACAAAAGATCATTGGCAAACTGATGGAAAGTTGAGTGGAAGGAAAAAAGGGTGGTACGAAAAAACACATACGCAGATGAGACACACCGAGAGTGCAAGAGAGAAGGAAATGAGTGAGAACTTACTCATGCTGGCTTCATCTTCCTCCTTATGCCCAGTTTCACTTTCACTGGTTTTCCTAATCTTAGAGGGAACGTCACCCTCCGATCCCTCCGCAGTCTGTGACCGTCGTCGTTTTTTCTCTGATAATTTTCCCGGTGTCTTCTGTGCGCTGCTGGTCTCCGGATCGCAGTCTGCCGTCACGTGTTTCCTCTTGTGCTCCGACGGCTCTGCTTCCATCGCGACCTCTTGGACTTTTTCTGCCGATGCTTTTGCTGTTCCGTCCTTCTTTTTTTTCTTCTTGCGCTTTTTCTTCTCCTCCTCCCCTACGTAGCATCACCGCCCAGTAAGTGTCACACAAGTAGCTTTGCGATCAATAACGTGTGCGAAAAATTTAAACATTTCAACTTACGTGACTGCGAATTGTCCGCAGGAAAAGGAATCGGTTTCCTACTTAACGTTTTGGGGAAAATCCCCGGCTTCCTTGGAGCGTCTTCAGGAGGATTGTTCAACATCTGTTTCAGAAATAAAAACTTATCATGTGGCTTCTGTTGAAGCAAACAGCATGTGTGAGGTTTTTAAATGGCTTAAAATTTCTTATCTTCATCTTAATGTTTCAAAGATTCCACACTCTTTACCAAGAGGACACATATCAGCTGGAAACAGTGCAAATTAAACATCTGGCATAACTGATTTCACAATTTCCAGAGTCACGCAAAAAGAAAAAAGTGTGACGAATGAAATTTAATTTAGATAGTTTTAGAGAGATGGTCAGCAACTTTGTATGTTAATGCACAGATCACGTCACAAAGAAGTGACACAGAAAACAACAATAATATACAAACAAGTGTTAAATGTTTTTCCCATCACAGTTCAAAGAAGTACGGCTTGCTAATTTGGGAAAATACTGCTAAACGTGCTGGCTGCATTTTAATATAAGCCATTTTCAACAGTGTAGCTCAACAACACTAAAAGAACTTGTTCAGCGAAACAAACGGGTTGATAAGAATGTGGTCTAGAGAGGACAGTACTATCCCGCTTATGATATTTTTGGACAAAATACATCCTCGTTAACACCTGAACTATGACCCCAAATCACAGAGGAGATGAAAATGATGATTCATGGATGCGACATTTAATTTCCCTTTGAGATAAATAATGCGTTTGTAAATTGGAATTCAAGCAACTGATACATGAAATTCACTTTTTATTTTTTTTACACAACCCCCTCCCTTAAAATCACCTCAATAGCTTTCTGAGCTTGTTCCTCTTTCTCAAACTCGACAAAGGCAAATCCTTTAGCGTCACCGGTACTCCTGTATCTGGGTATGCTGACGTACACCACATTCCCGCACTTTGTGAAAACTCTTTCGATCCAGCTGTGAGTCACGTCCTTCGGTAAAAGTTCCTTGAAGGGGGAAGAGACAATAATAAAAAATTTTTAAAAAATTGGATAGAGTTTAATCATTGAACTCATCAAAAGAAAAACATCATTGCGTTAGTGTTTCTGCAAATATCATTCAACGGGGGATTAAAAACTTTCATTTTTCTATTTCTTTCCTGACAAAGAGATTTAAAAAAAAATCCTTCAGAATGTGTGCCACATGAAGTCAAACTTTCTGAAATTACTGCAATGCTCATAAATGATGAACCACCATTCAGACAGATTAAAGAAAAAAAAAAGAATGAGGCTTGTGGAAGAAGGAGCTCTGGTAAAACCCGTCAGAGGTTGCAGAAGAAGAAAATGTGTTTTACCACATAGACCGTCCGACTGTCGACGTTATTTGGTGGGTTTCCAAGCGGATGTTTACGCCTTACTTTAGTTCCATCGAGGTTTATCTGAAACAAAAATAATAATTGTTTTTATGCGCCACTGACATGTTTGAGCCCCTAGAAGCTCGAATTAGGAAAATAGTGCAAAACACGTGATGACTATTTGGAGCAAAAGCCGTACCTGCACTACGGATGAGTTCTTCAGAGCTCTAGCGATCAGCTTAGTGTCAGTCGTCAGCTTCTTCATGAGACTGAAGCTCGTCAGCACAGATAAGTCAACATCTGCAACCAAAGAAGTGTGGTGCAAAGCTTAATGTATTCTCAATTTTATGGTTACATTTTCAGTCTCGTTACTAGACCCTTACATCCACTGTCGGACTCATCGATGAGCTTTTTCAGAAAGCGGTCCTTGTGCAGGTTGACCTCTCCAAACCAGAACTCCACCTGCCTCTTAATGTCGGTGAGGAGCTGCTTGACACGGGATCTCTTCTTTTTTTCCGTCTCCTTGCTACTGTCACTGGGTTTTGTTGCTCCATCATCCCCTGCTTCCTTCTCTGTCTTCATCATAATTAATGTGGGGCAGCAGAGTGGTGCTTTAACACGAAAACAATGTTAGAGGGCAGATCTGAGAGTGTTTCTGAACTTTTCTATCTCTGTAAAGCCAGATGATTCAGTCATCTGATCACCAAAAAACAATAGCTTGCCCCAAACCTTTTCCAGCACCTGTACAAAATAAATGGGCCAGATGACGAAAGATTCTGAATTAGGTTAATCTTGTTTAACTTATAAGTAATTCATAGGCTGTTAGGGTAATTATTTGTTAGTTTTAGCAACTTTGTGACGTTAATGAATGAAAACTCGCGAGTGGCGACAGATTCAGAACACTCTAGTCTTAAAATGCTTTTCTAAACAAGTCATTCCACATTCATCTAAATTACACACTTGTCCGTTGAACTCACCCTGTTTGAGGAGTTTAACCCGACGATAAATACAAAAATAGGCTTAAAACAGAGCTAGCTCCAGTAACACAACACAAGCAGCTCGTTCGGACATGGCGCACAGTTATTTCGTCAGAGGAACTAGTTAAGTTTCCGGTTAGGGATTTCAAAATAAATGTCCAAACTTACTATCCCGGGTGGATGTAACAATTTTATTAATTAAATAATGATGTACATGACAAAAATAAATAAATAAATAAATACATATAATAAAATAATAAATAGCAGAAAGAAAAAAAAGAATAATATAAGACCAAACATGAAATACCGTTCTACGGCTCTGAGTCAAAATTTCACACCTTCAACAAACCATTAAAGTAGTGTATTTGATGACAGCAAAAATAAATTTTACTCATGGCTTTTGGTTTAAATATCCCGACCCAATATTAGTGGCCGTCTTTTGGCCAACATTTGAAAACTTCTTAGAGGCACCCATGTATGAAATATGACAGGTTATGGTTAAAAACAATGAAAATAGTGTATTCACGCAACTTTCCCTACAGTCTTTGATTTAATTTGGAAAATGAGCAAAAGCACATCCGGTCGATGGAGAGGTAGTAGAGGTGCTGTTACTTTCAGGGAAATGTCGATATTTGGAAAACAGCATTGAAAAAAACGATCCTGCTAGGTGTCTGGCGCCGAAACAATAAACAACAAAATAGAACACAAATCCACTAACACCTATATCAGCAGGCATATATATATATTTATGTTAGGGGCCGTTTTACACATATGAGGCCGGTTAGCTCAGTTGGTTAGAGCGTGGTGCTAATAACGCCAAGGTCGCGGGTTCGATCCCCGTACGGGCCACATCTTTCTTTTATGGAAATACTTTTCCATAGAGGTATTTCTGAATGTAGTGCGCGTCCTTCCCCTGATTTGGTTGGCCTATAAATGATGCTTATAATCCTTCCCCTGAATCAAAAATTGACTCACCTTCCTGAAGTCAAAATGTCAAAGCTGCTTGTAAAAAGGTGAGTACACCCCCATACACCAGCTTTAGCAGCAGTGACCTGAAGTTGTCATTTTATAAAGTCTGTCACGTCATTGTGGGGGATTTTTGGACCGCTCTTCTTTCAACACCACTTCTTTCCTTGCATACCCCAGCTTAGGTCATGTATTGACAGATGGGCTTATTTTTGATCATATGAGAATTTTAAGCCATAATACTTGGCAGTTGGTATAAGGTCTTTCGTCATACACTGTGTATGGTTTTCTCTAAATTTGGTTCTGACTCAAGTTTTGTGAATCATTCAGATGCAACGGTGAAAACCGACATGATAGTACTGAAATCTTTGAAACATTTTTCCTCCTATCAATCCCTCCAAATAAGTCATACTTGTTCTGACTATTTCTAATTATGTTGTCTTGAACTTTAACATTTATTATGCTTACTGAAACTTGTTGAATCTATTCTGGGACTAATCGTGTATACTGGCTGATCATAGGAAAATGAAATGTGTGTTATTACCCAATTGCTACTTTTCATTCTTAATCCCACGAAAGTAGCAAGGATGCGCTTACTTTTCCACATAGCTTTGCTTCAATGGTTTTTCTTTCTAAACACCAAGGGGATTTTTGGTGTGTATTTGTTTAAACAATTTTAGAATCTGGGAAACTTTCCATTGTTTCATTGTGACTGTGTATTGCTCCACTCCTCTCTGGGTCATTTTGGCACACAAGAATTTGTGGTCGAGTGTTAATCATTAAAAGAGGACGTAATGACGTCGTCCCGTGTACCATTCATTTTCATTCTTTAGTCTTTCATAAAACAATTAGCGGGAAATAAAACGATCTCAGAGATTTAAAAGATTGTCAAATTTTTGGAGTTTCTTGCGCATGTCATCCTCTGTGCAGCACTCTATCCGGCTCTTAATGAGCTGCGACAGTTGACTGTAGAAGGTCTTTGCCCAGTGGAGCTCCAGCCAGCCATTTGGCATGTTGCAAACTTTGTGGAGTACCGTCACTAGCTTCTCATTGCTGCTGACCTGGCAGCGCCTAAAAACCCATTCCCCCCACTCTTGCCACAGTTGTTCATCTGTAAAATTTGCTGTGATCCTGTCCTGGCTGCACAGACTCTCCGACTCGGACTCATACAGGTTGTTCCATATGACCCTGAAAGAAGAAGAGGAAATAAAAGAAAAAAGCTTTAGAGTTCTGTACATTGAAAAAAAAAAAAAAAGATTTTAAACTTACTTACACAATTATTTGCAATGGATCAGGCGTCAAATCAGCGAGTGACAGCAGACCTCTGTGACTAACTCGGTTACCCTCCATCCTTTGGGAACAAATTATTAATTCATAGGTATTCATACACCTTTACATGAAGTTTTTTTTCACATAATTGCAGTGTATTTCACTGTGATTTTTTTAAATGATAAACCAACACAAAGTATTGCATGATTCATAATTTTCCATTTTTTTCCTTGAAATAAAAACTGAAAACGATATTGTGCAAAATCAGGCCGTGATACCCCTAAATAAAATCCAGTGCAATAATATCACCCGATTAGTAAAGAGAATCCACCTGTGTGTAATTTAATCTCAGGATAAAATTACAAGTGGTGAAGAAATTTAAAGCAGGGTTAAGTTATAAATAATATTCTAAAAAACAAAAAAAAACATGGAGTACTATTTGTTTCATTATCTGAAAACTGAAACCTATCAGGATTCTGCCTAAATTTACAGGTCAGACAAGGGCAGTTTTCAGAAATTTTGAAAACCATGTAAATTTTCCTTCCATGTCACATTTATGCTCCACTTTGTGTTGGTCAATCACTTGAAATCGCAATGAAATACAGTAAAATGTAATATATATATATATATATATATATATATATATATATATATATATATATATATATAAGATGTAGGAATACTTTTGCAAGGCACTGTTAGCTACATGAAGTTTTAAATAGGTCAGTAGTTACATGAATCAACATGCAGATTCTGTTCCCTTTTCTCTGCGTCTTTTTTGGATACACTAAATTTGTGAGAATATTCAATATTTGAATTGGACTGACAAAAAAAAACAGAAGTTAGGGGAAAACAAGCTGTTATACCACATGCAACAGGATATTTCTCATTCTGTTGATCTGCTTTCACTTCTCTAAAATGCTTTATGTAGTATTATGTGTCAACACTACAAGTTTTGCCTTACCACAACTCTTGAACCCTTTTTTTCACCCGAATCGCAGTGCAAAGAGCTTGTAGTTCTTCGTCACCGATGTTTGTCCATCCGAGCCTGAAAACAGAACAGAACGAGTGACATTGTTTGACTGAGACCCTGTTGATGAATTAATTCAGTCAGAAAAGTTTTTGCTACTGGTTGCTGTTTGAAATTCTGAGAAAATGAATTCAGGTGTAGCAGCCAGCCGGATGAATGAAATCTTACCCGAGGTGGGTGAGGTTTTCCGAGACCTTCACCACGTCTGCAACGACCTGAACCGCGTCCATGTCTAAATTATTTTCTCCAAGCCTTTGGAATAAAGAGAGTTCATTAGTGGAGCAGCAAGTGCACATGTTTTGACACGTGGAAGTAAATCTAATGCCTTGTAAAAAAAAAAAAAAGAAAAACCTTTCTCACCCTTTAAACTGTTTCACTTTTTCGTCACAATGTAACCACAAACTTTAAGATATTGTATTGGAACTTTATATGACAGATCAAGAGAAAATATGGCATGTGAAATGGAAGAAGAATGGAAGGAAAATGGTAGTCAAAAGGTTTTATGATTAAAAAAATATTAAAATATTATTAGTAGTAGTATTATTATAATAAAAAAATATTAAAAATAGCATTTAACTTTCCCAAAAACGCTTTGGTTTTCGTGACCTTCAGCTGTTCCTTTATCTTTATGCTAATTCTTACTCGCTAACAAACCTCTGAGTCCTTCCCATTGGAGCTCAATTCATACCGACTGTAAATTACACACAGAAATACCAGTGACTGAGTCAGAAAAAAAGGGGAGATGACAATAAATTCAACAGGTTTTCTGGGATTTGAATGTGACAAAATGGGGGAAAACTGCAAGGGGGGCAGAAGATGCTTTTTCAACACCTGCAGTAGTTGCAAGTGAGCTAAATTTCACCTGGCACTCACCACAGTCTCTGACATCTGTGCAGAAATGGTTGAATATCGCTCAGAGAGTCACGGTTCACTCCAGTCCCTGTAAGATCCAGTTCTGATAGTATTTTGCCTTCTGTGAGGGCTAGGAAATACTTTATGGCATTATGGTCCATTTGAGCGAGCGTTTCGTCGCTGACATTTACTCTAAGTAATTCTGGGAGCGCTGGCAGGGTCATTGAGGGGTCCTGTTGCTCAAACAAACAATGTAAGCAGTTCAGAATATGGGCTCCGTTCTCACAAAGCACTGCGAGATCTGTTGTGATCTTCCGACGGTACATCTCTACTTTTTCCTCCCGGCAGTGAAGTCCCACTTGTCTTGACAGGAAATTGGAATTCCGATCTGAGAGGATTCCAGACAGGAAGCGGCTGAAGAGGTCCAAGTGTCCATTGTTCTGGTTGTCACTGCTCTGCATTGCATCAGGCAACGGTTGGTCCGTCACAGCGCAGTAAAGAGAAGCAAAGAACTCCTGAACAGTGAGGTGGGCAAAGGAGAAAACCTCTTCAGTGAACCCGGGCTCTTGTGCAACTGTCGTGTCAAGGAAGGTACTAACCAGGCTGCATCCCTCTAGCCCGGCCACATCTTGGTCGCTGCTGTAGAAGAGCGTTTGATGCTCCATCAGCTTCTTAAAGGCAAGTCGACCCAGCTTCAACACAATATCAGACAGCTGCTGGTTGGTCTTTGCTCCTTGGTCTTCAGGACACGTCTTCGTTCTTGACTGGGTGTGAGAACGGAGCAAGGCCACTAGATATTGCACATAAATGTCCGTCATGGTCTTTGGGCTTTCCCCACAGAGATCTTTGCTCTCATTGAGGATGCAGCACACAATGGAGCAGAAGGCAGGAATATAGCACAGTGTCAGCATTAGTTCATTTGCCGACACCGTTGAAAACATTCTGTCAGCCACAGCAGCATCCTGGAAATACCTCAGGAAGAAGTCTTGAACTTCATTTATGGAGAATCCGGCAATGAGCACATAACGGTCGATGCATCCGACAGGGATGTGGTTGATAGCCGTAGGCCGGCTTGTGAGCATGACAGAGGCGTTGGGTAGCAGCTCACCCTGCAACAAGCTCCCCAAAATTTCATTCACCTCTGCATCTTCCTCTGGCTTGGACATGAATACGTCAACGTCGCACCTCCTGTAGTGTCGGAACTCGTCAAACCCATCCAGGATAATTAGGAGTTTGTCATCGTTTGCTAAGATCCAATCCAGTACTTTAGAAAGGTGCCTGTTCTTACGAAGCACCAACTCTCTGAAGTTTGTGGGTTTGTCAATAAGATTTAAATCTCTAAAGCTCATGTGGATAACAAAGTCAAATGCCAGGTGGTCCTTGCTCTGCCCAAAGTCAAAGAGAATTTTCTGCACCAGAACCGTTTTGCCAATTCCCGCCACCCCCGTCACCAGCACTTTCTTTATTGAACGTTTTTCGTTTGTTCTCGAAAACAGTTCAGCTGGTGCAATTTTCCTTTGCAGCCCTGATTTATGCTGCAGAGACAATCTCTTTTGTCCAAAAGCCAGCACCTCATGTCTCTTAATCTCTAAGGCCTGGTGTCCGTCCACTAATAGGAGGTTGACATAATGTTCGGAAAAGAGGATTTTGTCTCCGTGCCTACTGTTGTAGAAAAGCATGCTCTCACTTCTGCGCCTCAAGACGTCTTTGTGCTTTTGTTGCATCTTCTTGTACTCTGCAGTGGCAAAAAAAAAAAAAAAAAAAAAAAGGTAAATCGTAAATTTGATTAACTGCTACGGAGGTATTTGGTGCAAAAAAGTGTTAGAGATTGTAAAGTCACAGAGAAAGCTCTTATGAGTTTTGCAATAATATATTCAGCTTTCAGTCTTTCAACAAAACATTTTCGCCTCTTCAAATTTGTAAGTAGACAAATTATGTTCGAGTCACAGTTTACAAAAAACCTTACATTGCATCTACAGTTTTGCCCCACTTGAAACAAAACAAATAAATCCACATCCAAATGACTTATCACTCACAGACACAAAACCACGTTCAGACCTTCAGTAATCCTGCAGAGTCACAAAATATAAAATTCCAGCTCTGATATTTTTGCTCCACTCGGTCCAGCACATTTAGAGCAAAACTAATTAACACACTTGTATTAACATCTTCACACAGACACAGGTTTTATCAGATTTTTTTTTCTTTCCCTTATCCTTGATACAGTTTCGGTATCACCGTATTGAAACCCTGCCATAACTAACAATAAATGAAGGCTTAAAAACTTTCAGTCCGTGTGTAATTCATCTATTTCACTTGAATTGAGCGACTGAAATAAATGAGCTTTTCAATAATATTCTAATTTATATTTTTTTCTAAAAATACAGCCAGCATGTTTTCTTTTGCAGAAAACAAAAGTGAAGGCTAACCACATGAGGTAATAAATAGCAGCTTTAGTGCATGCATCCCATGTTGGTTATATTTAAATAAAGGTTTAAATTTCAGCTTTTTAAAAACTCAGAAAAATCTTTCTATATCATGTCACATTTTCCCCAGTTAAAAATGTATTCCCCAAACCTGAGGATGGAACTTGAGGCGCATCCTGGGAGAGCCGCTGATAATTTCTAACAGACAAGAAAACTTTCGCTGCTTCCTCCCCTTTGCACTCCAGGATATCCAACACCTTCCGGACCCTGGCCCGGGGCCCCGGCTGACACAGCACTTCCTCCCGGTCATCCCGAGTGAACGCTTTCTGATCCACCAGCTCCTCCAACAGGGAGTCGATCTGTCCTTCCAGTTCATCCACCAGGGAAACGCGCAGCACTCTCACCGCAGACAGACAGGAGTTGGAAGCGTCCATTTCCACCATGGCTGATGTGAAAAGCATCCGTGGGACAGCCCAGTTCTAATCATCTGACGGTTGCTATTTCTGATGAAGGTGAAGCTGGTGTGTTGATATTTCCTCTATTGTCTGAGAGAGAGATGGCTGCATATTTTAAACAGCAGAAATAGGAAGTAGAAGTACCTCTGACATAATGAATATGAAAACGATGACAGTAACGTTTTGAAAGACCTGCTTGTTCCGGTTTATGTGTTATTTTGTTGTTAAAAGCTGATCTGACACACGTGTTTTGGATCAGGGTTCCAGGTAAGCCAGGTAAAACTTTTTTTTCTGCTTTAAAATTCACTCAAACTCAATAATGCAGACAAGATTTTTATTGTTAGAGAGAGACACACGCACTCAAATTTTTAAAAAGGAACGTATTTCGCTTTATTTCGCAACAAAATCATAACACAAAGAGTCACCAGCAGAGGTTCCCCCTGCATGCACTAGAATACAATCAGTGGGAAAATAAATCAGTCATAAAACACCAACCCAGAAAAAAAAAGAATAAAAATGTAGATGAAAACTCATGAAAATAAATAATAATAAAGAAAAATGAACAACAAAAATATGTACATAACTTAAGACCATGAACAACATTTAGTGACGATTTTCTCTTGTTACATAAAAAAAAAAAATATATCCACACCTCATACCCCCCGGCGTAAATGATGACTCATTTTGTATCCACTAAGCTAAAAGTGCAAACCCCGCTTATCAACAACCTCTATGAAACTGTGGTTAACTATAAACAGTTCCTACAAGTTCCCATTAGTAATAACCAGCAACACTTCACATTATCGACATTGTCAGTGTGACGTCGTTTTCAAATGTCCACAAATTAAAAGTGAAACCTGATTAAAGAGTTCACAAACGCCAGGTACTTTTCAGAAAAAGTGAAATCTGTTAACTTGTTTGTAGGAGACACAGCACCCTTCGCATTTATTAGCACTCCAGTTGAAGAAGTGCAACGTGGAAGTTGAAACCGTTTATTGCTCTGATTATTTGATGACTTTGATGACTTATTTGATGACTTCTTTTTTTCCTCCTTCGCCTTTCCCCATTTTGAAGAGTGCACAATAGAAGTATTGTCATTTTTGTACTTCAGAGAGACAGGAAATATTTGGCTATTATTTGAAAACTACCTAGGCACATAAATAAACCCAAAGTAGACACTTAAAAAATGCTTCAAAAACTTTTTTTTTTTTTTATTGATATGGGTGCTGCCTAGTGATTTTCTCAAACACTTTGATTTCAAACCAGAAAAAAAAAGTACTCAAATTAAAAGCCGGACATTTTATTTTATTTTTTCAGCTAAGTTTTACGTCTTTTCCGACGTACCCAATAAACACGGAGGGCGCTGTAAGAAGGGAATTTCTATGTTTAGACAAAACACTTTAGTGGTTAGAGGAACATTTTGAACAACTTTTCATGAAATATTACACAAAGACATATAAACAATTTTACTCTAAGAACAAAATAAAGAAGACAAAAAAAACAACTTTGCAAGCCATGTTTTTAACAAGGACTTTGACGAGTTAATAGTGCAAAAATATATGTATTTTGTCTCGAAAAACATTTGTTCGCTTTAGTCCCATCATGTATAGCCCTTAGTGCAAACCTCTGCAGGGGATCACTTTCTTTTTATTGCTCTCTACTTTCTATTTTGCAGGATTCACCTGAAATCCTGCAAACAGATGATCACCCAAAAAGACAGAAAGGGTTACAATTTCATTCACAGATGGCTGAAACTAATTACATTGTCATATATTTGCTTTATTTCCATTTTATTAGAAGCATCACTACTGCTTTAATTTTAAACAAAAGCATCCTCAAGACGGCATACTACTTAAGCTAATAAGTAAGCTAATGGGTTTGCTGGTAATTCTTGGCAGTGAGGTAATATAAAAAGTTAAATATAAAGACGACTGTGTGAAAACTGGTTGTCTGTTTGTATAAAATCAGCCGTATTTCCATTGCTTGACTTTGATGCAGTAATAAAATTCCTAAACTGATAGCAGTCTAATCGCTGGGTGGACGGGTCAGTCAGTGCATCACTGTCTGTAGTGATGCACTACAGGGACAGGGACAATGTTATCACCTCCTTTTGCAATTTTTCACAGTGGTAACTCATCTCAGGTTTGCGCAACTTTGAAAGAAATCTGTTAGTGTGAACTTTTCCATTAAAAAAAAAAAACAGACAAAAATAGGAAGAATTGAAACTGAAGCTTTCATTTAAGGCCGCCCATCTTTCGTAAGCTCTCAAGTTCAAACCAAGCACATGACATCCTCAAGGAGGAATAGTCATCCACACTCTGGGCATGAGACAAACATTCCTCACCCACTCAGCAACTCTCATCTCAGACGGACCACAGAAGAAACGGCTGTGGGTGTCGAGTTCCCGTCATTTTTAGGACCAATCCAATCCCCCTCTCCCCCGACCTGTCCGAGCTCTCCACACGCCTCGTCCTGCCTCGTCCCCTGCGTCCCTCAGGTTTTCCTGCAGGAGTGGCAGCAGCGGCTCTTGAATTGCTGCAGCGGGCAGAGCTCCAGCTGGCGGACCCTCTCGCAGTACCTCGTGCTGTCACGGCACTCCTCTGCTGGAATACGCAGTGGAAAACAATTATTGCTCGTCATTACGCAATCAGGAGCAGCAGGAAAGACTTAAGTTAGTGTGTTCGGTGTCAATCAGAAGTTTACGTACAGTTTCAGCCGATAAAGCCAGGTCGGTTTGAGTAATTTTTTCCAGTAAAAGGGTGAGGTAATCATTTTGAAACTGCATTTTATATTTCTACATAACAGCCTATCCCATCATAAGTCTGTTTTATCTAATCCAACAATAGGTTTTGTCAGAATTGTTGCTTCTGGGAAGCAGAAGCAGATACATTTTATAACAAAGCCTTGCAGGTGGCCACAAGCAGGAAGAGAAACTATGGAACAATGGAAAACAGCCAAGAATGATTGAAAAGTAGAGGATCAAGTACTGAGCAGCAACAGGTGTGAGAATAACACAAAGCTTAGCACCAAAATGTCTAATCGTCCAACAGAATCCAAGTTTCAATCTGACCCAAACTTTCCCCAGACAAGAAAGGAAGCTGATGTGGATGTCCAGAAAAATCCAAGTATTGGCAAAACTCAAGTCTGCTATGAAGAAGGAAACTGTTGGAACACCAGTGTCCTCTACTGGGGGGAAGAAAGTTTGACCTCAACGTAAAAACTATCAACATTTTCAAGCTTGACTGAAATTTCCAGCTTCCTACATGGACAAATGGCCCTCTGAGGAAACCAAGACTAACATTGAGCTGTTAGGCCACAGAGACCAGCAGTACTGTATGTTTGAAGTACACTGGGGTGCAGTGCGATGATGAGGGAAAGTTTTGCCACCAGCGTAAATTGCACAAAGAGGAGGGAAAAATTACAACTTGCACTCAAATCAGCAAATAAATGTCTGAAACACAGAGGACAGTGATCCCCAAAAAACATCAAAACTGGCTTTGAAGTAGATCAAAGCCAGTTGATCTACTTCAACTGCCTTTGATCTAGCCAGTTGAAGATCTAGTCAGCTAACTTTTCAGAGTTTCAAAAAAACTGAAAAGTTAGCTAACTGCTAGCTAACTTTTCAGAGTTAGCTAGTAGCTAACTCTGAAAAATGTAAAAACTATTTTTCAAATGAAAGTTTATGCAACCAATCAACAGCAAAAAACTACTCAATAATTTGCTAGATGTTTGTTGCTGGCTATGAAATTTGGTTGAGGTGACTGGAGAAACTCATACAAACCCGTTGTTGTTTGCAAAATCCATTGAGAGTATTTGGTTCAAATCCATTATTTCAAGGCCCTGAACATAACAACATACGTTGGCATTTACAGTTCCTGTCAGAAATGTATACAAACTTCAGACAGGAACTGTAAATGCCAACATATGTGATTTTGAAACATTAAATGATTTTAGGAGTTTTACAAAGTTGGCTTTGTCATGCAGGAGTTCCCTAAACTAACCGCAGAAGTGATATTCAGAGTCATAAACATAGTTTGCAAACTCTTTCTTCTCGCGTTGCGGTCAGTGGGGTATCCGTACCATGCTTTATATTCTCGGTGAGAATCTAAAGGGGAACCCTTCACCCCTCCAACAGTTCAATATCAAAATTTCACAGAGAAACTTATGAAAAAAAACAAAAGAAACAAAAACAAAAACCCGAAAACATGGAAAGCTTGAATTTTTTCCATACATTTCTGGACAGTTTTATAACAAAAACACTGAAAAATGTGACGTATGTTTAGCAACAAGCTCACTATCTAGTAAATCATAGATGGAGTGGAAAATAAGCGTAACATCAGAAGTATTTGGTGAACCACTTTTGAGAAGGTGCCACAATAAATCATGACAAAAGAGGCAAACATTTTGATTATAAACTTGCATCAACCAGTGTTGTCAGCTCAAAGGACGGTGAAAAATGGGGAAATGTGTCTTTTACTGAATTTATGACAAGAAAGTAAGCTAAAAACACAGAAGATATGGTCTGATTTGGAAATAAATTGCAGAGTAATAATGATATTCAATATCTGACTTGCAAAGAGGACCAGAGGAGATAACTGGTGGAATCATAAATTGAAAGATGAGTTAGGATGCACGGAAACAGAGGCGAGGTTTGGTCTGTCCTGTTTGCATCTGCTTTAAACATTTTAACAGCTTCAAATCCCACACTGCCATTCGTCACGCCGTTTGTTTTTATATTTGACCGTTTAAAATGACTTTGAACTACATTTAAACTGAGAAAATCACACAAATATTTCACAGCGTCTTATCATTTAAAGTAAAAATAAAAAAATCTCACCTCTGCCACAAGACAGCATGTTGCAGCGCTGCCAGCTGGAAGGCCGAGGTCTCCACATGCAGTGGTGATCCCGCGTCGTCCTGCCCGTTCGACGGTGTTTGCAGGTCACCTGACGGGATTGGAAACCGTGTCGGCCGCAGGAGGCTGTGCACTGTGTCCACGGCCCCACGTACCAGTAAAGGAAGCACGCATCTGTGGAGCAGTTTCTCACTGAGCTGGGCCTACAGTGATAGATAGATGGATAGATACGAGGCGTTTGATTAAAATCGGTTCTAAGAGAACAGAGGCTTGTAACCTGAACTCCCGTTTACCTCCTGAAGCCTTGACACGTCCTGTAGGAAACTTTGGTACCGTTCGTGTCTTTGCAGTGAACGTCCCGATGCTGCGTAGCC